TTCGTTAGAAGTGATATGTTAAACTTGGAGTTTAGCTAGAACAGTGATTAAGGAACTCATAGAGAGACATAAGAATAGCCAGTAACAAGATAATGAAGTGTTCCTATACTATTGGTTATTGAAATGATTCATTCTGTTTGTCTTGACAATATTGTTATAAAACAAACTCTTGTGTAAATTGTTACATCACTGGCTTAAATACGATTCAAGAGAGCTACGAACTATATCCATAATACACTATGTCCGAATTAGGCACATCCATACTTGGGGGATGTGAAGACACAACTGTGTCACATTTAGTTGGCACAGGATTGGAGCAACTATGGGGTAACTCGTTTGCTATGAAGCTGAAACTAAGATTACCAAGGTTGCCCGTTCCCATGTGCCTCGCCTGATGTTCTGGAACATGGTCACCATTTTGGTCAGCTCACTGGATAGCTGGAGCTCTTTCCTGCCGTTCTTCTGGATCCACCTCGAGTGGTTGGTTCGGTTTATTGTGGCGATCCTACCCTCTCAAGTTCTCATAATTTCGGTGACCTTACTCTTCCCTAGCAGGGTTTCCAGAGTGTTGGTCAGAGTCCATGTTGCAAGGGCGGTAAATGCTGCTTGGCTCATGCTGGTTGTCTGAAGAAATATAGTGACAGGATATACGTGGCTACCGGTTGGCTGCCTCTCAGGTGATGTTGCTAGTGTCGGGATCGTCTGTACCAGGATGCCTGGTGCCTCGACAGGGGCGGCTTCTGGTAGTGGCAACATATGGTCAATTGATGGTAGTGCCATGACAGGGTCTGCTTCGAGAGAAGGTTGCATCTGAACATGCCTGGCTGGCACCTCGTTGGTGGTGGCTCCCTTGGAAGAAGTCCTGGTGGCGCGGTTAGTAGTTTGCCTTTTCTGGCCTGTCTTCATCCCTCTTTGTTGGTTACCACGTGCCATGGTGTCTGGTATCAATCGAGGCAACAAACTGTCGGTTAGGGCTAATTTTGGCAGCGAGAGCTGACAGATCACGCCGTTTTAATCAAGCAATCGGATGTCAGGATTGCTATGCGATCGAGGCAACAAACTCTCGCTTTGTGACATGAAAGGCTACGAGCTCTCGACTTTGTGTGATTAGTGATCTCGACTAGCTGCTTATTATCAGATGACTTTAGAAATAGCTTGGTCTCTGAAGGGAAGCAAGCCTGGTTAGGAACTCTGAAACAGAATTTACCAGGGTGCTCTCAACAGTATACAAGGCTAAAGTTATCGGCAAGAATGCTTTTTGGAAGCCGGCGCAATAATCAGTCAAGACAGATTCAGCTCTAAATGCAAGCGAATCAATGTCAAGATAAGATTATCGACAATCGGCAGTCAAATAGTGCCTATCGAGTATGACGAGGCGGGCTGCTTGCTGTTAGGCGATTAGCAAGCAAGTTTTCTTGATTGCTTTAAAAAAAAAAAAAAAAACAAGACCACGACCTCCAGTATTTATAGGCCAACTAGGTCAACAGAAATTCCCGTTTTTAAAAAATATCGAGAGGCTGGTCTGTGTTCACAATTTTTATCGAGTAGATTTATGAACAGATTAAACTACAGTTTAATTAATTTGTAAGACGTTTTATTGAATGAATTATCAATCCGAAGATGATTAAGTGTGCTAATAGAAAATATAATAATTATATAAATAATAATTAATTAATGAAGCTCTAAGTAAGAATGATTTTGAAATCAGTAAAAAAAAAATAATAAACACACACACACACACACACAAACACACACACAACAGCAGAATGTTGAGAAGTGTGAAATTAAAGCTAAATGGGACGCCCTGCCTTAAAATTGTTTAAAGTTACAACTCATTGGATAAATAACAAGTTAATTAAAATGTCCCTGCACTAATAAAATACCAAGACTGCAACCTGGAGTAGACAGCTATTATTGATACTGGTCCGATGGAGGTGTTAGCAGACAGAACCTGGCAGGTTGAAGATGAGGATAAAGGTGTGACTTTGATTATGAGCTCTGGCTAGCTCGATGGACCATGATAATGTAACCCTGGGATTGCAAACGAGCGTTGTGCAATCCTGACTGACCCTTACAGTAAATGGACATACCCATGGGGAGGAGTTTTGACAGCCCTTGAATTTAGAATGGTTTCAGGAGTAATGTACGAGGAGCTTAGGAGAGATTATAAAAGTGGGGACTGTAGGTTTGGAAACTTAGACTCTGCTAGCAGCACATGCCACAAAACCATTTGTTGGACTTACACCTTAAGCTTTGAAACATAACGTTTGGCATGAGTTTTCATTTTCCAGGTAATCGAAACTATTTTAGACCTTTATTTCGTGATAGAAGTCTCAGTTGTCTCTTTGCTCAAGTGTGTGTACTTATTACTTTATAGTACTCCTTAGCGGACACTTCTCCATTCCAGTAGAGCTCTGTAAAATTGTTATATATCTTAACTGATGTTTTCATGTACGTTTTCAGTGTACATGTCATGTTTTTCAATGTGGTATAACTTGAATATCGATGTTACCATTGAAATTTAATGAACTATCATTTTTATGAAATCTCAAGCGTGAAGATAATTTTGGCAGTCTCTTCAGGCGTGAATTTATATTGCAAACAGCTAATACATTGAAATGTATTTAACTCCTGAAAGGCTAATGCCAGAGATTGACCACGAAGAGTGAAAATCCCGAGAATGTTGATGTTGCCCCATAAATTTGTTATCATTTTGGGCCAGCACATTATTTCAGGTATTATTTCCAGAACTTGTTCTGTCAAGCTGAATGTCATTTTGAGACTAAATCAAACTTAGAGGACACAACTATCACTACATGACATGAGTAGAAGAAGGCAGGAAATGTAACAACTACAATGTGAGACGAAGTCTTTCCAGACTAGACGGTGGAGAGTGTGTATATGTGTAGGGGAGTTGTAATATTTCTTTATGAATATGCTTACTATGCATAAGAAATCTGAGCTTACACGTGGGTATTTGTTTCTTCATCACAGTTCCCACATTAGGCAGGGGCTAGTCCGCATCCATTCTTATATATTGAGATGGATGCGACAGACAGGAGATCGCCAGCACAATGCACAATGAAGATCGAATTTCCGCATGGTGTAATGGTTCCAATGCCTACGTTAATCCCTCGAAGGAAACAGTGACATGGTCCTCTTTGAGCAATCACATTGTCAAGATGGACTTATCAGAAGTGAAATTTGGTGATAATGTGTTGATCGGAACCAACGTGATGACATCTCATAGTAAGTTTGGACCACAGCTTGTCTTCTTCTTCTTCTTCGCGTTCACCAGCTGTACACTCTGGGGAAAAGTTCTGGTTGCTCGTCCACTACTGAACTGCAGTCCTGCTCTAGAACCTGAGTGTTTGCGTGTGCATCAGTTTTACAGATCTCATTCTCTTGAATAAAGACTGTTGGTTCCTTGCCTCTCCGGCAGATGCACTCCAACTTCAAAGGAACTCCCCAATTAGCCGACTCTTACGACATGCTTTTGGGGAGGCAGTGGGTCTATTCTTGTTTTCCCCACAATGGGGCCACGGAACCCACACGGGAGATCACATCTTGTTATTCAGGAAACACGTTGACCACGTGATAACAAAAGCACGCAAAGGTCTATCTGCAGCGATGAAAGTAATGGCTGCTTCCAATATTGAGCAAAGACTACTAATACTTCTGTTCTACGGACTGACCCTTTTTCCCATTCAACATACTCTAGCCATCCTCACTGTCAGTGCTACACAGACTGAACGACTTGAAAAGGTGCACAATTAAACCATGCGCATTATTCTTAGTGTGTAGCAGTGAGATATCTACTTGACTTTCCAACCATGAACCAAAGATTCAGGACCTGGAAGGCTTGGGCATACCTTAAAATATGCGCTGATAAGAAACACGTACTGCACCAAGCGCTTTTCAGTGAAAATGGTCACAGGATGATGAAGAAGGGGAAATCATGGCTAGGTCGGGTAGAAGATGTTATCAAGCAAATATGCAGCCTAACCGACATCACCCCTGGTGCTGTTCGTCTATTACCACACTTGACGGTAGATGCAGGAAACAGACTCCTGTTGCTGTCAATGCAGAGGTCAACTTTGGCCCATCAGTGAAATTTCAGATGTGACGGATGGACGGGTCTACACAGACGGATCCGTCATACGTCAACAACACAAGCTATCACCACCGACTGTCAACCGATGGATCATGCTGATATTATTAATACCTTCCGAGATTTGGGAAGGGTTAAGGACTTTGGGGGTAGTGAATCCACATCACTCGTCAAAATCATAGACTTGGTAGTTTGGATCGGCGTAGCAAAAAAAATGAGACGCACATCAGGTGCATGAGAGGACATTAATCAACATAGAACTGGCACTGTTAGCTACCGGACGCTGGGATTCATGCCAAAGAGAAGATCTGAGCACCCATGGACATACCAGAAGTGCAGTGATGATAACCAAACTAACTAACTAACTAAACTAACCGCTTCACCACAGTGACTCAATATACTGGCTTAAAACAACCACCATTGACATATGCATGTAGGGTGTAAAGGGAGAGGGGGGGGGGGGCATGGTTAGGAGAGAGAAGTACACTTCAAAGTGAAATTCAATGCAATGGTAATTTTGAAATGATGATAACCAATATATACTTAAAGCCAACTGAGCTAACACAGATCAGCATAAATCTGTGAACAATTACTAATCCCATCTGTTGCAACACTGCCGTTTACCTGCACGAATTCAATTTTCAAATGTGATAAGGTTTAATATCTTTTTCTACCCTTTATTTGTCAGCGGATCAAAGGCTATTAAAATAGCAGACTAAATAAAGCATTCCTCTGTTGGGTAGGTAAGTATGTTGTACTCCACCAGGACATCACACAAGCGATAAACACCCGGTGACACAAAGTGCCATCATGCGGATGAGGATCACCCGTGGAGAGGTTCCTGAAACCGTCCGCTATTTGTCTTCTTCGTTTTCTTTTGAGGGAGACAATGTTCTGCTTCTCGCTCTTCTGGCCGCTTGGGGCGTTGAGGGAGACTTTGTTCTGCTTCTCGCTCTTCTGGCCGCTTGGGGCGTCGAGGAAGACAATGTTCAAATTCTCGCTCTTCTGGTCGCTTGGGGCGTTGAGGGAGACAATGTTCAGCTTCTCGCTCTTCTGGTCGCTTGGGGCGTTGAGGGAGACAATGTTCAACTTCTCGCTCTTCTGGCCGCTTGGGGCGTTGAGGGAGACAATGTTTAACTTCTCGCTCTTCTGGCCGCTTGGGGCGTTGAGGGAGACAATGTTCAAATTCTCGCTCTTCTGGTCGCTTGGGGCGTTGAGGGAGACAATGTTCAAATTCTCGCTCTTCTGGTCGCTTGGGGCGTTGAGGGAGACAATGTTCAGCTTTTCGCTCTTCTGGTCGCTTGGGGCGTTGAGGGAGACAATGTTCAACTTCTCGCTCTTCTGGCCGCTTGGGGCATTGAGGAAGACAATGTTCAGCTTTTCGCTCTTCAGGCGCTTGGGGCGTTGAGGAAGACAATGTTCTGCTTCTCGCTCTTCTGGTCGCCTCGAAATAAACACGTCGAGCTGTTGTAGATTTTCTCTGATGTTGTCTTTCCATCTTGTTCCTAATCTGCCTAGTGCTTTACGTCCTTCTCTTATTTTAGTGTATGTTGTGCCGTCACAAAGCGTCATATGCAATGACAGGGAAGACCATCTACTTTGCCTTACGTAGGGGACGGGCCTCGGTGAGCTGGTCCGGGTGTCTAACTTCTACTGATGACTGGTAGATCCCTGCTGTAAATGCTCCCCTGTGGAGTTTTTTCCTATTGTACGTGGCTAGCCCACAAGACTACCATGAAAGAATGGTGACGCTCGGGAAAGACTTTGTGACACCTATGGAAAGACTGCCCCCCCCCCCACCCCCCGGTAACGCCGGGGGGATAAACTGACATCTGGAGACAGATGTCGACTGTGGACCGGGTTGATCACCCCTAACACAGTATAATACCTCCGATTTCGCAAACCAATATAGAAATATGTCCCCAGGGCCCTTCGAAAGAGGGGGAGAATGAAGGGCCCAATCAACACTCGGTGACGACAATGCTAGCCCCCGGACTCAGATACTCACCCAACGTCCGGGCTGGCTCTGTACATGTGGGAAGAGTTTCACGGGGTTGCATGGTCTGAGAACGCATGCCGGAAGAATTAAATGCGAGGGTGCTCCACGCAGTAAACGCCGTCGCAAAACTACTACTCCTGTGGTAATCTCTGAGTCGTTAGGGAACGACGGGCAGGGTGTTCCCCACTCGCCCGGAGAGGCCCATGACGTCGACTGCGGAGGCGCAAATTTGATGATTTCCGAGGAAGTGCGTTCCAAGATCAGGTTTCCACCTGCAAACGATAAGGTGGAGTGGTGTAAGTTAGAGAGTACATTGTGTGAGATACTTAATCATGATTTAAAAAAGAAGTCGTTAGGCGACAAGCTTACTAAGTTTGGTGATGTTATATATGAACACTGCTCCCGTCAGTTCGGGACAGTGGTGAAGGCACAGCCGGGTGCCAAGCAGAATACTAGCAGGAGACAGAGGGACATTCTAAAGTGTCGGGCAGTCAAGAATGCCCTCAGAAAACGGTTCAAAGCCGCTACAGGCAGCGAACGGGAGGGGCTGTACGAAGTTTGGTTGCATTTAAAGAACAGACACAGTGCCCTATGTCGCGCTGAGCGTTTCAGTACCAACAGACGAAGAACCAAAAGGGAGCGAGAGAAATTCTTTAGTGACCCGTATCAGTTTGCCCGAGGTCTATTCGAGCAACCGAAGTCTGGGACTCTGGTTATCAGTAAGGAAGAGCTTGAGTCACATCTACGCAAGATGTACTCTGACAAAAAGAGGAGTGAGCCTCTCGATGACAATCCAGAGATCATTAGCGGCCTCAAGCAGCCTGAGTTGCCGAAGGTACCATTTAAAATGATACCTCCCCTTTGGTCTGAGGTTGAGGAAGTTGTGAAAAAGGCCAGCGGCACGTCTGCCCCAGGTCCGAACGGTGTTCCGTACGTTCTTTACCAGCTTTGTCCGAAAATCCTACGAATGCTTCACGTCTTGTTGAGACAAGCGTGGAGCCGTAAACACATATGTCCAGATTGGCAAAAAGCGAACGGGGTCTACATTCCCAAAGAGCAAGACTCGAAGAGTCTTTCCCAATTCAGGCCCATCTCGCTGTTGAATGTCGAGGGTAAGATATTCTTCTCGGTCATGGCTCGCCGGCTCACACAGTGTCTGATGGCTAACAAGTACATCGATACGAGTGTTCAGAAGGGTGGTATTCCGGGCGTTCCTGGGTGCCTTGAACACGCGACCATGATTTGGGAGGCTATTCAGAAAGCCAAGCATGAGAGAACCCAATTGCACGTTATATGGTTGGACCTAGCCAACGCCTACCGGGCAGATCCCCATAGGCTATTGTGGCAGGCCTTTCGCATGTTTCACGTACCGGCACAGATCAACGACATGATCGAGCAATATTTCTCTAAGTTCACTTTGCGCTTCTCTACCTCGACGTTTACCACGAGATGGACTGAGCTACAATTTGGGATAGCTATGGGGTGCACGATCTCACCAATACTGTTTGTCATGGCCATGCAGATTATGTTGGACAAGGGGGGGGGGCGGCTTCGGACAGGGCCTTCAAATAGGGGATCACTGGATGCCGCCACTACGCGCATTTATGGATGACACGACTATAATCACGGGCAGCGAGGAGTCTGCCCGCACGATCCTGGAAAGATTGGACGCGGTGGTCCAATGGAGCGGTATGCAGTTCAAACCGCAGAAGTCGAGGAGTCTGTCAATCCTTAAGGGTCGAGTGGCGGCAACCAGTTTTACGGTGGCAAGGAACAAGATCCCCACGGTTCTGGAGAATGCATGAGTCACTGGCTACAGGCCTGCTCGCGATCGAGCGGTGCAGGCTTATCAGTAAATTCAAGGTATGGTGTCTCCAATTCATGTTGATTCCAAAGCTCCTCTGGCCGCTGTTAGTCTACGAAGTGACGATGACAGTAGTGGAGACGATGGAGAGGAAAATCAACACAGCCTTAAGAAAGTGGATTGGTGCACCACCTTGTCTAACCGACGTGGCTCTGTATTGTAAGACCGAGAGACCGGTTGATCTGTAAGACCGGTTGATCCGTAAGACCGGTTGATCCGTAAGACCGGCCTGCGACCGGACATAGTTCTCCACTCATCCTGATTGAGTTGACCGTCCCGTTTGAGTCGCGTATGGAGGAGAATCACATGTATAAGCTCGAGAAATACAGTGATTTAGTAGCCGGTCTGAGGAGAAACGAGGCGTACACAGTACGGGTATTTGCCGTCGAAGTGGGAGCGAGAGGCCTCGTTTCCACTTCGCTCTACAATGTGGTGAAAGAACTAGGATTGCGCGGTAATGAACGAAAACGAACAATTAAAAAACTGGGAGAGGTAGCCGAAAGGGCCTCTAGCTGGCTTTGGACGCAACGTAACAACGTAGGGGACGGGCCTCGGTGAGCTGGTCCGGGTCTCTAGTGGAAAAGGGTTTCTCACCCCTTTGAAAGTCCATCGTGTCTGAATTGTCTGCCAGTGTTCCTCTGCCACCTATTAAAAGTCCAACATGTGTCCGGTAAACCAAACGTAAGCTTGTCGCTCGGTCGTCCAGGCATGCTGACTGCTTTAATTAGGCTGCCGCGACGACTTCTTATCTCACAGTACCTTCTGCAACCACCAAGTCGTCTTGTCTCTGGCCGAAAGAAAAACACCATCCGGTAATTTCGTGCAGCAGGGAACCAGCCCTGAGCTTCATGAACTCAGGAGGGCCCACCTCCGAATGCGTCTAGGAATCGTGGGCCGAAACCCGTGTCGACGAGGATAATTTCTACTGATGACTGGTAGATCCCCGCTGTACTTGCTCCCTGTGAGTTTATTCCTATTGTGGTTAAAGAACTAGGATTGCGCGGTAATGAACGGAAACGGACACTTAAAAGGGTTGGCGAGGCTGCTGAGAGGGCCTCGAACTGGCTTTGGACGCAACGCAACAACGTACGGAACGGGCCTCGATGAGCTGGTCCGGGTGTCTAGTGGAAAAGGGTTTCTCACCCTTTGAAAGTCCATCGTGTCCGAATTGTCTGCCAGTGTTTCTCTGTCACCTGCTAACAAAGTCTAACATGTGTCCAGTATACCAATCGGAAGCTTGTCGCTCGGTCGTCCAGGTATGCAGACTGCTCTAATAATGCTACCGCGACGACTTCTTATCTCACAGTACCTTCTGCAAATCACTAAGTCGTCTTGTCCCTATCCGGAAAGAAAACACCATCCGGTAATTTTGTGCAGCAGGGAAACCAGCCCTGATCTTCATGAACTCAGGTGGGCCCATTCTCTGAAAACGTCTAGGAGCTCGTGGGCCGAAACGTTTGTCGACGAGGGATAACTTCTACTGATGACTGGTAGATCCCTGCTGTACATGCTCCCCTGTGGAGTTTTTTCCCATTGCCTTAGTTGGCAGCTGGTCTCAGAAAAACGCGCACTGTAGTTTATACAATACGACACGGGGTTCAGGCTTTGTGTTTTTCCTGGACATCGTAATGGGTTGTGATTACCTTTGTAGAGGGAGTTACGTGGTCTCGAGGTATGATGGCTGCCTTGATGCTAGAGGTCCCGGGTTCAAGCCCTGGTAAAGACTGGGATTTTTTCGGTTCACGTGGACTTCTAGTAATGTCCTTTGGTTTCTGAGTAGTAAGATCGGACGCACTTTGTGTATTGGTGCGCACGTAAAAAAAAATCTCTTGACAGTTGGAAATCGGAAAGAGTAGCCTAACGGTTCTGCCTAGGCAAAATTTGGAGTTAAAAATTTACCCAAAGTATTTAAAGGTTCTCGCCGGTGCTACGGAGCCCATGCACTGAGTTGAGCTACTTCGGACTCAGACTTGAGTTATAATTAGAACGGAGCACTTACAGGTGCAATAATGTTCATCCATTGTTCAAACCTCAAACCTCCATGTGTATCCGTAAGCAGAAGTATACAGCAGAATCTCTAATGCAGAACAACTCCCTTTGTTGATCACCTCCAGAAGTTTACATCATTTCATTAATCAGACCTATTCTCCCCGAAAGGCTGCCTTTACGTGTTGACTACCTCTGTATGTTGGCCCCTTGGAATACGACACACAATGGTAATGTATCTCCCTGTAGCTGGTCCAGCCGGTCCTAACCAGTAGTGTGCATTTAATATCTATCTATCTATCTATCTATCTATCTATCTATCTATCTATCTATCTATCTATCTATCTATCTATCTATCTATCTATCTATCTATCTATCTATCTATCTATCTATCTATCTATCTATCTATCTATCTATCTATCTATCTATCTATCTATCTATCTATCTATCTATCTATCTATCTATCTATCTATCTATCTATCTATCTATCTATCTATCTATCTATCTATCTATCTATCTATCTATCTATCTATCTATCTATCTATCTATCTATCTATCT